ATCCCCTCGCGCCGGGCAGGTTGGCAGCACCTCTGTGCCCTGGGTCGCTTCCTCATGGGTATTAGGAGGCCCACAGGTGAGAATAAGGTTTGTCCTTCACACTTGGTGTCAGAGCACCCTTGATAGGGCCCCCAGAGGCCCCTGTGCTGGCAGCACCCTCATTAGGCCAGGCTCTGCTGCACCCCGACCCCACCCCCATTAGTGGTTTGTCCCCCTCATGGGCTCACCCAGGTCTGCCACCCTTGAACCCCCTCCACTCAGATGTCGTAGAGCAAAATGGCAAGGGTGTGAGTCCCTTACCCTTTATGCCCCTTGTCAGCTCAGGACCTGCCCCCAATCCCCAGGGAACACGTGGCTCCTCCCTCTGGCTGTCCCCTGATGTCTGCCATGCAGGTGACCTTCAGCTCCCCTGTGCCCTGGTGGCACCCCTGGATGGCATCCAGCTCTGCTGCCACCAGTAGCGCTGTGATGGGCAGTCTCCCCGAGCGCCGCACACCCAGCTCCCCGTGGGGCCGGCCCAGTGCACGCAGAGGCTCTGCCTGCCCGTGTGGTCACCTATTGTCCGAGGCCCCAGCCCGGGCCTCACGGGGCTCAGCGGGGGACCTACCCAGGAGACAGCCCCGAGCTGTGCTTGTTCCCAGAGCCTCAGGAGCGCATGGACACTTAAACCTCTTCTTAACTGGACGGGGTATTGTGGCCAACTTTCAAAAAGACTCAGCTAGGGATTCTAAACGTAGCTCTTCACAGAAATGCTGTGAGCCTCCTTTAGCTCAGAAGCAGGGTGACCCCTTAGTTATTTGACCCAGCATGTCTGAGGGCGGCCAGGGCTGCCGACGAGGTGAAAGGGCTGCGGCTGTCAGCAGTTTCTGGGGGAGTGCATTCGCAGCGTTTCCTTCTGGGTCCCCGGATGCTGCCTCCTCCTCCTGTGGCCCCAGCCAGTCGTCACCTGGGAGCAAGACCTGCGTTTTCTTGTGCTGATCTGGGTCTGCAGACCGCACTGCACCCGCCCCATTGTTGCGCCCTCTCCAGGCCTGCCCTCCCCATCCGCACCCCACCTGGCTCTTTCGGGCCCACCTGCCGCCCACACAGGTATCCTCTGCCCGGTGTGCCCCACTTCTTGGGGAGAATGGCTGCTCTGAGAGGGGCTGCAGTGGGACCAAGCCCTGAGCACCCCTCCCCTGCCACGTCCCTGAGCCGGGCTGAGTCAGTGTCTACACAGAGCTGGGCCTTCTTTGGGGTGTGGGGGCTGGAGACCCGCCCTCTCCCAGGGCCCCTCTGCCTCCTTTCGTGCTCTCAAAAGAGAGTGAAATACTTGGACTCCATACACTTGGACTCCATAAATCTGCAGGCTAACCCTCTGGGCCCGCACAGGAAAGCAGCAGCACGCAGAGGTGCCCACAGCTGCTTGCGGGAAGGAGCCGCCGTGTGCAGCCTGCTCACCCATGACAGTGCGTCCCCGTGTCCCGCCAGACTGCCTGGACATGGCACGACCAGCTCCCTTCCTGTTAGATGCCCTTCGTTCTGTCTGCGCTCTGGTCTGGCCAGGATTTTCTAAGTACGGCTTTGCTGTGTGGCACCTGTCTCTTCCCAGTCCCACTGGAGTTGAGAATGTCCACCGTGGCTGGCATGCCTGGCACGGCTGGTGTGGCCGCTCAGCCATCTTGCCCATGCTGGGAAGCCCTGCATCAGCTCTGACAGGTTGAGGCACTTGGGTTTGCACCAGGATGTGGGTGGATGGTGAGGGTGCAAGAGGCTGGTGGCTGGGCCAGGGATAGACTGAGGTGATAGAGCCTGTGGGGAGGACAGACTAGAAGGGGCAGGAGGTCAGGAGGGTCCCACCAGGGGCATGAGAGCTCAGGACAAGTGGCCAGAGCCCACAGAAGGTTCTGGAAGGAGCCACAGAGGCTTTCCAATTTCTTCTACTCCTGAGATGGTTTCTGCCTCCTCGGGGGCAGGGCTGAGCCCGGCAGACAGCACACAGGTCCAATGGCTGGGCACGGTGATGGCAGTGCTGTGGGGACCCCGGAAGCAGCCATGAAAGCACGTGGGCTCTTAGCCCTGGAGCCAGGCCCCTGCCACATGACCCCCGAAGGTACCTGGCTGCCCAGGCAGGCTGCACAGCACCCCATGGACCGCGCCAGCAGAACCGCTCTCTCCCCATCTGCAGGCGGAGCCGGACAGTCCCAGTGGGTGATGCTCACTCTCAGGCTGCATTGCTTCTGCACCCACCCCTCATCTCTTAGGAGGCTTATCTGTGTGCCAAGGGGTGAAGCCTGTTGTGGTCACTCAACAGGGTGTGGAGATGAACGTACCTGCAGGCGGGAGGGACTTGGGGTGCAGAGGCTGGTGTGCCTGCAGGTGGGAAGTGCTTGGGGTACAAAAGTGAGCGTACCTGTGGGCAGGAAGGACTTGGGGTACAGAGGCTGGCACACCTGGTGGGAAGGACTTGGGGTGCAGAGGCTGGTGCACCTGCAGGCAGGAATGGCTTGGGGTACAGAAGTGAGCACACCTGCGGGTGGGAAGGACTTGCAGTGCAGAGTGGGTGCACCTGCAAGCGGGAAGGGCTTGGGGTACAGAAGTGAGCACGCCTGCGGGTGGAAAGGACTTGGGGTGCAGAGTGGGTGCACCTGTGGGTAGCAAGAAGGCTTCCTCTACAGACTGCATCCTCTTTTCCCTCCCAAAAATATTATAACATAACAAAGGCAGGAAAAGGACAGAATCTTTAACCTAAATTTAAAAAAACGAAGGATAAGGCTACATTTCAAACCTGTGGAGTTAAATCAGAGTGGTATTTAGAAAAAGCTGTGTGCTGTTCACACAGATACTGGGAAGTAAGGCTTCCTGGAGGTGATGCCCAGGCCTTTCCCTCGAGATGTTAAGGGGAACGTGGGAGTGACACCAGGAAAGAGACTTGTAAGAGCTGGAAGCACGGATCGAACAGCTCAAGGCTGCCAACAAGTACATCCAAAGCTGGGCCTGTAGCAGATTAATAGGTCAGAAGAGTGTCTGTCCGCACAGGCTGAGAAGCTTTAGAAGCCCAATATTAACAGTGAACCATGACCCCAGGCCGGGCGAGTCAGGAGAATCTGCAGTGGGCAGCTTGGGTGGGGAGGAAGCTCTGCCGGGGACCCAGGGAGGAAACCTTCCTCACTGACAGGAGCACCGAGGCGGACTCAAGAGAAAGTGAAATTTAGGTAAATAATAAGGAAACATTGAAACAGCAGCCAGAAATCTCATAAACACCTGCAGTGAGGCGGCTCGCAGGCAGGGTCCGCGGGAGGAAGCAAGCAGGGGGAGGGGCTGTGGGGCAGGCTGTGTGAGCTGGCCATGACCCAGCCCCAGACCTGTAAGCAGACGGACCCGAAGGACCGCAGCAAGGTGTCCACGTCGGAAAAGCCATGAAGGCCTCCCATTAACAGGTGGATGGGTACAGACTCGTCGTTACCCCACTAGACACGGCAAGACCTTTGATAAAATTCACACTCACCCAAAGCACAGCTCAGAAAGACAGGCGGAAAGGCTCGCTTATCCCGTAAGGACACTGGCACCTGGGCAGGCACCTGTTGAATAGGAATTGTCACCAGTCCAACCACACACAGCCTCATCGCTGCTGTGCCTGGCCTCATGAAAGCGGGTGGTCTGGTGGGCAGTACCCACCCCCGGAAATAGGGAGGGAGGGAGGGGCCGCTATGAGTTAACATCATCTGCAAACGTTATGCAGATCCGCGTCCACACTGCCCAACAGGCAACTGCAGGCTTCATGGACCACTGGCCACGTGGAGGGCACGTGAACTTCCAAGACCAACTGGGAAAGTGGGACATGGCTCGCTCATAACTTCTGTATTGAGCACATGCCAAATGATAATGTTTCACATACAAATGTGTATAAACTATAAATATTAAATCAACTTCATCACCTTTATATTTTTTTAATGTGGCCACACATCTGGCTTGCATCATATTCCCATTCTGGGGGGTGCTGGTCTTGCTAGAGGGGCCAGCACAGTCTACAGAGGAGCTATGGAAGTCAGCATGTACCCCGCTGCAGGCTACAGAGCGAGTGTGGTGGGGCCCTTCCTGCTCGGTTGGCAGGGAGCTCGAGATGTCCCCATGGGTCTCCTGTCTGCTGTCTCCTGTGCACCAGACTCTTTGTATTTGAAGCGTATCATGCAGACAGTCAAAATCTGCATCAGTTGATCATAAAGCTTTTGTAAGTTTGTTCTAGATCAGAAGGCACTGCTCCTGAGCACCTGCTCCCGGTGGAGAACAGAACATCACTGGTGCATGAAAGTGCTTGTATTTTAGTCCCAGTTGTCTGGCCACCCTGATGCAGCCTGGCTCAGCTGCTCTGGTAAAGCCCAGGTGTCTGTCCTCTCCCTCACCCTGTGTTTACAGCTGGGCCCTCACCTGCAGGGCCTGCCCCTCCCCAGGAGCCCCACCCTGCCTCCCACGGTGCTCTCCCAGCCAGACAGTGGTGGCATTCAACGCCCCACCCTGGTGCCATTCTGTTAAGCTGGGCTGAGCTGCAGTCCCTGTTCCCTGCTGGGCTCCCACCCTGTGACTCCCTTGGGCTGGAAAGTCCCCTGAACTCCCTGGTCCTCCACAGTCCAAGCTTGCCAGCCCCCGTACCTGCGGCCCCACTCCTGGCAGCTGTGCACCACAAAAGCGTCTTCCTGTGGCAGAAAGACGGCAGGGGCTAATTGCTGCAAGTTGGGCCGGGAAAGGGCTTGGGCAGGCGGCTGCCTGGCGGGAGCCGGCTGGGTGTTGGGGAGAGCTCTAGAGCCCCATTCCACAGCCACGCCCTCAGGGGCCATGTCCTCTAGGACTTAGGGACAGAGCGGGAAGGTAGGAGCAGTGTGGCCAGTGGCCTGCGTGGGACGTCCCAACGGCTCACCTGCCCAGCCATGGGGGGACTGCGATGGGGCACGCTGGAGCCAGCATTTGCAGGAGAGGCTCCCCTGCCAGTTACTTCCAGAATGACCTTGCCTCTGCCCTCCCAGGTTGCAGTCCTGACAGTGACGCTGTTCCCCATCCGGCTGCTGTTTGCTACCTTTATGATGCTGCTCGCCTGGCCCCTGGCGTTCCTTGCTTCACTGGGATCCGATGAGCGGGAACCCGAGCAACCTCTGGCCTTGTGGCGGAAGTAAGTCGCCCCTTGTCTGCAGGAGCTCTGACATGGGGGGTCACAGGGCTTCTCCTGTCCTCCCAGCGTGAACCTGGCCATCTTCCCCTTCCCGGCACAGACACTCCCGGCCTTCTGCCGCCTCCTTTGGGGAGGTCTAGTTCCACCCCTGCCACGGTCATGCTCGGAGGCTTCCTCCAGGGCTCTGTGAGCCAAGTGGCCACTGTTTCCATGTCCACAGCATGGAGATGCCCATGTTTCCATGTCCCCAGCCCTGAGGCTGTGTGTCAGCTGACATCTGTCCCCAAGGCTGGTCTCCACAGGGTTGGCCTCCCTTCTTGCTGACAGACTTAAATGCTCCCCTGCTGTACTCATTGAGCTATCTGTGGGAGGACGCATTGCAAATGCATCCTAACTAAACACCCAACATGGACCGCAGAAACTTTAAGCACATTTTCTGGCTTATTCCAGTCCCTAAAGCTGTTCTTTGCCCCTAAGTGTGCCTGTAGTGGGTGAAGATGTCCAGGTACTGGAAGGACTCGGACAAATGCCTGCAGAGTCTCGGAAGTCACATTCCTGCCGTGAAGCCAAAGTGTGGGCAGCCCTTCTGTGCTCCGGTGCCTCTGACCAGCCATAAGGGGCCCTTGAATGTTTATTAAGAAATAGAAATATTCGTGTAGTGCGGGCATTGGCAAAAGGCCCACAGGCCAAACGTGGCTTCCGCCTGCTTTTGTAAATAATGTTTTATTGGCACAGCCACACCCACTCCATGCCATCAGCACCACTTCTGGGCAGAGTGGGGTAGCTACAGAGGCTACAGGGCCACAAAGCCAGATATCTGCTCCCTGGCCCTTTACAGGTTTAGTGATTGGCTCTGGAAAGTGTCTGAGCTGCAGAGCACTGATGCCCATGGGAGGCACGTGAAAACTGGGTCCATCCCCGGCGGTGCCAGCGGGCGGTGGTCACGTACAACAGTCACATGCAGGGCAGAGATGGCCAGTTACAGTCAGGGTGCCGTGCTTATGGCATGTGGGGTGCCGTGACTGGGGGTACCACTCATGTGGGGTCTGCATACACCCTTCTGCACGGCATCTCATGTGCTTAGACCGTGCTCATTTTCAAATGAAGCATAGTCTGTGCTCCTCCCTAGAAGACCCAAAGATAGCTGTCGCCATCCCCCCACTGTCCCCACACAGCACCTGGCCTGGGGGTGCTGGGAGGTGAGCGAGGGAGTGTGCAAGGGAGGGAGGGCAGGCGCCCCAGCAGCCATGCCTGCCCAGGCCTGCTGCCCTGCACCTAGGTGCCGGGTCCACCATGTGGCCGTTCTGATTCCCTGTGAAGAGGTGCTCTAGCTTGAGGTGGGTTTTTGTAATGTTTTAACCGTAAAGTATGAATTTAGTATCCCAGGCATCATCGAAATAAGTCTAGACCAAATAGGAATTGGATTTTCAGTTTTGCTGGGGAGTCCCTAGCTAAAAGGCCAAGATTTAGTAGTTTTTGACATATTACAAGTGATTTGAGTCCACATGTGGGATGTCAGTGATGACAGGCTGGTGACACCGCAGCTCCTCTACCTTGATCCCCTTTCTTCTCCCTGCTCCTGGCCCAGCTCCACTCCATCCTCGGTTCTCCCACCAGGACAGATGTTGTCTTCAAAGCAGATAGGTTGCTTCTGCCCCGCCCCATGCGTGCTCCTTGGGCATCTCCTCCTGTGAACAGCTGACTGGCCTCATGGTGATCAGTGGGCCCCAGCAAACTCCAGCTCCAGCCTCCCATGCTCGTGTCGGGCCCAGAGTGCCGCCCAGCAGGAGGACTCGCAGACATCCAAAGTTTCAGGGCGGCTCTGGGTGTCTTGGTCCCTGAGACTGCATGTCATCCATGTGTGTGTGTGCACATGAGAGAGCATGTGTGTTTACACGTGTGGCGTGTGTATACGTGGGTGGGTGTACATGGCATGGGGTGTGCGTGTGTGAGCATATGTATATACATGTGCATGCCCATGTGTGTGCACATGTGTGCTGAGCTGGCTGCACTCACACACAGCCCTCAGGCCCCATGCAGCAGTGTTTACAGAGAGCTCTGTGTGGGGCCTTGGCTGGGCCTGGTGCTCAGGGGGAGACAGAGCAGTTGGGCTGGAGGCTGGGGGCACAGAGGTGGGAGGGCAGGATCTAGCATGTGCACCTTTGCCGCAGAATCATCGTGTAGTGGCAGGTGGGCTGTTCTGCACTCGGCTCAGCTAAGTGGTGTCTCAGCTAAGATCTAAGATTGGTGTTAGATCTGCAAGGATTTTTGACCAGTAGAAGTTGGTCATTTGAACCTTCCGAAAGTAAGAACTTCAGGTTTTCAATGAAGGGAAATGGCACAACTTCACAAGACACTTAGTGTGAGTGACTTTCAAAACACAGTCTTGTAAAAGCCACAGCATCTTCTTGCGAAACCTGGCCAGCAGGCCGACACCTGAGCCAGGCCGGGGCAGGCGGTAATGGTGGGATGGCCCATCACCCTTTGGCCGTCTTACGTGGTGTAGAAGAGACTGTGTTAGTCTGTCCTGCTGCCATAAACAGGGCCGCAGGCTGGGAGCCGGAACCACAGAGAGTCACGCTTCATGGTTGGTCCCGGAGGCACCAGGTCAGAGAAGGGGAGCTGCAGACCTGGTTCCCGTGAGGCCCTCCTCCCGGCTTGCCAAGGCACCTCACTGTGCCCTCTAGTGACTGTTCCCCTTTGGGTAGGGACACCAGTCCACTCAGACCAGAGCCCCGCCCTCCTGACCTCCTTTGACCTCATGTCCAAATACAGGGGGACTCACACGCCTGCCGCTCAGGAGCCACTCCCCAGGTTCTGTACCTGGATGCCCTCTGCTCAGCTTCCAGGCCACCCCCATGCCAGTGGCCCCCGACCTCCTCCTCTGCCGCACTGTGTCTCCCCCAACCCCACGTGTCTTGTGCTTCTCCTGTGAGCTCTAGTTGTGGGAGGCCAGCTGACAGCTCCCAGACCTCTCCTCCAGCCAAACCCCAGAACTTAACCTGTCCGTAGGTGGTCTCAAACTCCCCCTGCCCAAACAGACAGCTGGCTCCCATCACCCCACCTGCTCTAGCCACAGCCCCGCCCTGGCCGATGGCAACTCCGTCAGGTCTCACCAAGTCCCTCTCTCTCATGCCTCCCCTCCAGGCCAGCAGACGCGGTGGCTGCACCTCCAGCACGCAGAACCCCTCCGCCCAGCCCCCTTCCCTGTTCCCTGCTGCCACCACAGCGCTGGCTCCTGGAGTGGCCTGTCCCCAGTTCTGCTTTCTCTCCCTCCTCAGAGCGGTCAAGGGGTCCTGCACAAGGGGGGGTCAGAGCACAGCTCTCTGTTCTCAGCCCTATGGGAGTCCTCAGGTCCATGTCCCCAGAGTCAAAGCCTTGTCCCTTCAGTGCCCACATGCCCTCACCATCTGCGCCCACACCCGGGCTCCTGCCTTGGGGCCTGGCACCTTCTCAGGGGCTGCCCCCCCCCACCCCAGTTCTTACTTTCTTCCTCCATTTTTATTATTTTCAGTCATAATACTTTTTCCTATTTACACCTGTAGTTGACTATTTTTTTAAATTCTTATTTGTACCACTAGAGGGCGACTCCACGCAGGCAGGATTTCTGCCTGGGCTGCCGGATGCTCCCAGTGCTCATGGCCGGGCAGAGTGAGTGTTCAGTACACCCTGGGTGCACATGAGCATTTCCCTTTAGTTTCTTGTTTTTGTCAGAGGAATATAGGCGCATCAAGATTAAGCACAAGTCTACCTGTTGCCCCGCCTCCGGGTCCTGCCCTGCTCCTCCCACCTTGCCTTTGGCTTTAGGTTCTCCACAGTTGCCTCCATGGGCCTCCCTAATGAGGGGGCAGCTCTGGGTCCGCTGTGGACCGACCCCGACCGGGTGCTTGGCACACGTGTGCCCGGCAGGGCCACCCAGTGCAGAAGCGTGCACTCATGTCATGGCATGAGTGTCTTTCCTCACGCCCGGGAGTGCTCCAAGTTCTGTGTCTGTCAGCCTGCTTTGTGTTTGAACATCACCTTGTATTTTTTTCTTTTCTACAGAATTCCAGCATTTCATTTTGCCTGTTACAAATAGAAGAGTAACTGAGTGTAGTCTCAAAATTCTCCACCCCGTGGTCGTACTGCCGCTGCCCAGGTTGCACTCTCTTCCCAGAGGGTCCCGAGCCCCCACACTGGTGCCCCACCTTCACATGGTGTGGGGCTCTGCTGCACGCAGCGCCTTTCTGCCGCTCCCTTGGGCACGTCTTATTTCCTGGGGCTGGTTTTGCTTGTTTTTGTCTTTCCTTTATTCTGTCCTAGACTTTGGAGTATCAGAAAGAGCACCTGCAAGAAGAACTCGGACACGTTTCATATCTGTCACTCAGTGTGGGTAGATAGTTTGGCAGGGTATAGAACTGCAGGTTCCAAGTCGCTGTTCTCAGAGCTTTGAAGATGTGACTCCCTGTAACACCTATGGAGTTGGTTCTGGAGGGGCCTGTCTATTCTTTGCGAGGTTTTGGAATCTTCTCTTTGTCCTTGGAAATTTGAAAAAGCATAGAGGAAATTGTATAGGTCTCTTGTTTTTCAATCATTTTGCTCTGCACCTTGACATGGTGCAAAGATCTATCTTTCTTCAATTGTAAATAACTGTTTTCTTTGTACCTTGTATTTCTGTCTTCCTCTCATTCTTCCTGTGTGTTCTGGGAAATTTCCTTCCCACCACTTTCCAGCCTTTCCTATAAATTGGTTATTTCTGCAGAGGGAATTTTATTTCCAAGAGTGTGTTGTTTTTCTTGTGCTCTGTACCTTTCAGAACCCCATTCTTCTGAGCAAATGGGGGGGGTGGGGTAGACTTTCAGCCACCTCTCTGATGTTAAGGACACCTATACCTGGTGTCTCCTTGGGTCAGTTTGTTCTCTGTTATGTGGCAGGTCCTGCCTGCATGTCTCAAGTGCTAAGGTATCTACCTGCATGGCAGTCACAGGGTGGGGTGAAGGATGGGTCCCTTCCCTGTGTCTGTACAGCTGCCCCCTAAGTCAGTTTCCCTGGGGAAGCCATAGCACCTAGCTTGGCGCTGGCCTCCTTTGCCATGTCGAGTGGTGTTGGCCCAACATTGCACAGTGAGCAGGGCTTTGCTGGAGGCCAGCATCCATACCGCAGGCCGGCCCTTCCCACTAGGTAGCTGGACCAGGGAGAGAATTCCTCCCAGGGCTGTAGAGAATTGTCAGGTATGGCATTTCCTTCCAGTACACTTGCCTTCTGACCTCGGGGTGGGGGACATGTTTCCAAAAGAAAGATGGGGATTCATCCCCTCTTTCCCCCAGCCCTCCTCTCCCTCCTGCCTCTGAACCTGCCTTCCCCAAACTGGTTCCTTTTCTACGGCAGCCTCCACTGCAGCCTCATTTCTGCCTCCCCTGCAGCCTCATTTCTCCCACCCCACCAGAGCCTTATTTCTTCCTTCTTATTCATTAGTGGCATTATTGGCCTTAATTTTTGTACATGTTTTTATTGTGAAAAATAACATGTATGCAGAAAAGCACATATAAAAATGTGCAGTTGAACAAGTAACAGAAGTGCAGGCCTGCATGGTCACACCCAGCACTAGAAAGAGCAGCAGACTTGGTCCCAGGTCTCAGCATGGTACCTGTCAGTGGTTCTCCTCCCAACAAACAGGTCTTTTCAGGGTGGCTCCTCGGGGGCTTCGTGCTCTGTGCACTCCTCACAACTGGCTGCTGCTTGGATCTGCCGGGACTCATCTTCTGGAATTACCTTGAGAGGGTTTTTAAGCCCCTTGGGAAATCAGTCCAATAAGTCCAGTAGGGTTTAGCCTCTTGGGTTCATGTGACAGCTTCACCCAATTTGATCTCCGATGTGACCCGGTAGCTGAGGGAGACGTGGCCCCTTGTAATGGTCTCTTCTCCCTGTGGACTAAGGTGTGTGCAACCCATTGTTCACCTGCTGGGCCATTCACCGCACCCTCCACCCCCTCCGTGGGTTTCAGTGATGTGTTGAGTAATGGTCCATTTTGTAGCTTGTCACAGATTACTATGAATGAGAGTGTGTAGATTTAAATACCTAAATTGTCATATATATATATTTTATAAATAGGAAGCAAATGCAGTTGACCTAGTCTGATGTTTACTTGATCTCCCCGTTTTTGTCCATCTCTTCTCTCCTCCTCCATGTCTCATTAACACTCATGCAGCAGGGATTGGCCTGGACCATGCCCAGCGTCCTGGCAGAGGTCAGCACTGGCTCTCTAGTGTCCATCCCCATGACCCTGGTGTTGCACTAAGGAGGTACAGGTGGACATGGGGCCTCGGTCTGACCGCAGCACCTTCTTCTGCAGGGTGGTGGACTTCCTGCTCAAGGCCATCATGCGCATCATGTGGTTCGCCGGCGGCTTCCACTGGGTGGCTGTGAAGGGCCGGCAGGCCCTGCCCACCGAGGCCACCATCCTCACCCTGGCACCACACTCCTCCTACTTCGATGCCATCCCCGTCACCATGACGATGTCGTCCATCGTGATGAAGGCAGAAAGCAGAGACATCCCGATATGGGGAAGTGAGTAAGCCCCCGCACTCCCCCGCGCTGGAGTAGGCCGCCCGGCGAGCCCCTGCCTGCTGCTTGGTGCAGCTATACCCACATGAAATAGGCACCTGGTGTCCCTGATTTTTTCCTTTGATGTTCCCTCCATACATTAATTGTGAATTTTGTTTTTATTAGCACACAAGTGCCCTCAACTATCATCACATGTCAAGGTCCTTCAAGCTTTGTCCAAAAAGAATACATTTCCTTTGTCACGCAGGAGTTCTAAAAGTCTGGGAACAGCTCACTAACTCCATCCTCACCCATTGTTAACTGAACCACAACCCAGATGCATAAGTGTCCCGAGACCACATAACAAATTAGCCAACCAGAGGCTTAAACCACAGAACTTTATGTTGTCTCAGTCTGGAGCCAGCAGTGTGATACTGGGGGCCCAAGTCCGTGCGCCCGGGGACCCCAGGGGCAGGTGGGAGCCCTTCCTGCCACATCCGGCTCCTGGGGGTGCAGGCGGCCCTGGGGGCATGCTCCAGCCTCCTCCTCCGTCCTCACATGGCCTCCTCACGTGTCTAATAAGGACACCGGTCATCAGACACGCTAGCGAGACCTCCTCTCCAAATCCTTTACCAATTATGTCTGCACAGACCCTTTGTCCAAATAAGGCCACATTCGTAGGTTCCAGGGTCAAGATGTGGGCACTCTTTCTTGGGCGGCCCTGAGCCCACTGTTCCATTACTGGAGCCCATGAGGAATCTGGGCTGCATACAGGACCCCTTCGCATGTGGCAGTTCTTGCCCATGCCCTACCAGCTCACGTGGGGCCCATCAGGAGCACCTCTCAGGCCTCTGCCTGCTCCCATTCACACCCAGTGGCTCCAGGGACCACCCACCTGTCCCCAGTCCTTGCCCCGCTGCTCCGCGCTGGCCCGCCAGCCTCTCCATCTTTTAGTCTGAGCCTTCCTGGCCATCCGTGTGTCATGCTGAGCACATGTCCCTGCACATCCACAGGGCTTCTGGAGCCTTGTGAGCTGCAGGGGCTGAGGGGGTCCACCGGCCCAGGGTCCCCACTCTGTCCACATTCTCTGAGTTCTCGTGAGTTCAAGCATTCATCCGACAGTTATGTAGAGAATATTGCTTGGGTTTTGTTTTGTCTTTCTAATAAGTGGCACATTTGAGAGGCTCTCATACATTGTGCCTCTGCCCCCCCCACCCCATCCCCTGTCAACACAGGGACTGGAGGCACTCAGCAGACTTCTGACACTCGGTAGCTTTGCTGGCCCGTGAGGTGTAGGGCTGCACGCTCTCTCTGTTCACTGGCAGCTTTGGTGGCTTGGCCAGTGCCCTCGTGGTCAGGTACTGACTTGCCGCCCACTCCGTGGTGCGCCCGTGGGGCCCCTCTAGGGACAGCCCAGAGTCCCTGCCCACCTCCCGTGGCAGGAGCAGCGCACTCCACACGAGGGCCGCACCTTCTCTTCCAGCTCTGATAAAGTACATACGGCCAGTGTTCGTGTCCCGATCAGACCAAGCCTCCCGCAGGAAGACGGTGGAGGAGATCAGAAGACGGGCCCAGTCAAATGGAAAGTGGCCACAGGTGACAGCCCTGTTCCCGTGTGGGGACATTACTTTGAAATGTGAAATTGGAGGTTGGAGATTGGGGGACTAAAGGGCCAGGATTTGCCTTCCTTGGGGCTGAATTTGTTTTGTTTCATTTTGTTTCTGATGAGTGTGTGAATCCAGGACTGCTAAATAGCAGGTACTTTGGGTCCCAAAATTTTAAAAGTAAAGCACTTCTCACACGCCTCTCAGGTTCCCGAATCATCTTTACTGAAAATGAACCTTTCAGGGAGTTCTAACTCAGAAAGAGCTGGGTCCCCTGCCCCAGGCAGCACAGCCTCGTGTCTGGCTAGCCCATCGGTCTGGAGTGTGCACACACCTGCTCCTAGAACACCTGGACTGAGCTCCGCCTGCCTGCATCTGGAGCCCATGCGGCATGGACAAGGCGTGCCCAGGCTGTGGGGTGGTGGCCCCCTGACATCAGCAGGCGTCTGGCTCCTGCTGCACTCTGGTCCTCTTTGTTGAGAAGCTGGAAACCCCAGCGGGCTTCCTGGGTGGGTGGCATCCAGGCACCAGTGCCCATGGGCAGTCCCTGGGGGCTATGACTCCCAGATTACCCTGGCTGCCACCCCCACAGGCACAGGTCGCCCCCTCTGTTCAGGGCCACATTTTCCAGCACGTGGGGACGCTCAGTTTGCATCTCCTTACCAGGCGTCAGTGGGAGTGATTGCAGGCCTGGCAGGTGCTGCTGTCCTGCGGATTCTGGGGTGTCTTGGGTTGCTGGCCCTCCGTGTGGGCCTCGCCACCCTGCCCAAGGCTGTGTTCCCTCAGCCAAGGGCGCCCCCCCGAGTGCCTTTGTCCCCAAGGGCTTGTGGGACGCCTGTGCTGGGCCCACATTACGTCCTTGCGGCTGCGGCGAGGTACGTACCCGTGTACAGGGCCTGCAGTCTAAGGGGGCATGCACCGCACCGCTGCTCACATTCTGGTTACTTTTTTTTCAGATTTTAATAAAATCCATAGTTAGGAATTCGATGTGCACTTCTATAATGTATCTTACCATTTTCAACTGAACGTAGTTAAAGCACCAAAATAAAATCAGCAGTAAAGAAACCAGACCAAGAATTGGCACCAGTAAACCCTGGACTTGTCCCCTTAAGGCTGACCTTTTCTTTTCCATTCCCAGATAATGATCTTTCCAGAAGGAACGTGCACCAATAGGACGTGCCTGATCACCTTCAAGCCTGGTGTGTAGTTTTCTTGTTTCCTTGTCTCTTTGGGAGCACAGGGGAGCCCCTCGCAGCCACCAGGGCCCCCAAGTTTTGCCACCAAAGGCCTCTCGGCTGGGAGACACCCTGTCATAGGTCCCTGCTGGGCGGTGCACCCTGGGTTTTCTCAGGGTCAGGCCGGGGCCAACACCAAGGTTGGGAAGAGCTGCCTGGCCCCAAACGCCCGTTGGCTGGGAAGGCTTGGTGGGAAGGCTTGTCCTGCTCCAGGGCCAGCCAAGGGCAGGCCGAGCACCTGCGCCGTGTCCCTCTCTCCACAGGGGCATTCATCCCGGGAGTCCCTGTCCAGCCTGTGGTGCTGCGGTACCCAAACAAGCTGGTGAGTTTCCGCCCCACCCCGTGCTGGCGCACAAGGCCCCGTGTTCATGGACGCTGAGGCGCTGACCTCTGTCATGTTCTGTCCTGGCGTTTTGGTGTGAGGCCCGCACCCCCATGTCCTCAGCAGCTCTTCCTGGGAAGTTTACAATTAAGATGTAAGTTCCAGAAGGCCGGAGGCAGCAGGATAGGAGTCTAGTGATGACTAGTTAAGTTCTAAATGCAAAATTAAAGGAGGGGCATTTGGGGTTGGAGCACCAGGTGACCTTGACAAACAAACCCCCCCTCAGTTCAGGGGACAGGAGTAGAGAGGCTTCAGAGCGGGTGTCTGGTGGGGACACTTGGGGACATTGTTCCGTACATGGACCTCCCTCTGTCACTACGTGTCAGCATAACGGCAAAGAGGAGACTTGCAGGTCCTGACACAGGCTGGACCTGTTGGTGTCAGGGTTACCGTGACCACTGGGAGCAGGAGGGCCCCTGGCCCACCGGCTGCCAGGCCAGGCCTGTAGGGTCCAGGGTTCGCCACCGGCCCCTGTGCCTGCAGCTGTGCACTGGTGTCCTGGACGGATGCTGTCAGCGACCAGTGTACAGGGGCCACCCAGGTGTGGCCAAGGCACGAGCCGACAGACGCTGTCCTTAGAATACACACCCGAAACCGGAGAGGGTGCTCCTCAGCAGTTTCTGAAAATAAGGATCTGCTGGTGTAAATCCTAGGCTTTCCATTCTTTCAGTTCTGTAGACTTACTGGAAGCAAGGTGCCTTTACTGGGCTCCCCGGGCATCTGGCACCCCTGGCAGGGAGGCAGGAGGTCTCTGCTCTGTGCCTGTCAGCTGCATGGTCACAGGAGAACTCCTTTGCTCCCGGGTTCCGGTACAGATGTGCACAGAAGGGGCAGCAAGATGGGGGTGCCCTAGCAGGTGGCTTTCCAGAATTCCCAGGAAGAGTGTGTTGGGGGGGAAGGACTGCAGGAGGAGGAAGCCCACATGGGGGCCGGTGTCAGGATGGAGACAGGGTGTGTGTCACCTGCGTCCCCCACTTGGTGGCAGTGTTATGGAGTGAGGATGGAAGTCGTCAGTACCCCGGGGCCCTGGGCACACAGCAGAGGCGAGGCGAGGCCCCTGCACTGTTTGCTCAGCTCTCCCTGGGCCCCGGGCTGACCCGTGAGCATCTCTGGGGGTGCAGCTAGGACTCGTGGGGTAGAGGTGGGTGTGTGGGGTGGAGTGAGGCTGGCACAGCGTTGTGTGGCTGGTGACAGGCCCTGCTCACAAGGCCCTCTTGAGCACGTCTGAGAGCAGAGGCAGAACAGGCCCCCATGTCACAGACTGAAGTCCCCAGGGACACTGGGGGAAGGGGAGCAGGAAGGGGAGGGGCCAGGGGCTGCATCTCAGGTGGACATTGGAACTGATGGCCTCGGAGCTGTGGGCGGAGAGGTGAGCATGTCTGGGGGTCCTACAGGCCGTGAGCACCGGCCCCTGCCCCCAAAGGGACCTGGGAGGAAGGTCCGCATCCCCTGGTCAAGGTGGGCCCGGCAGCCAGGCTGGCAGTGGGGGGGAAGGGTCTTCAGGGTGCCCGCAGGGATTCCTGGCCCGCAGCCTGCAGTCCTGACTCATTCTGCGCCTCTCCTGCCCCCAGGACACTATCACGTGGACGTGGCAGGGACCTGGAGCGTAAGTCAGACCGTCCGCTTTGCCCTGTCCTCCCAGAGAGCCCAGGGCCACTCTCGGGACTGCCCTGCATGCCCATTACTTCTGCACATTAGAGACTGGCCCACAGCCCATGTGAGGGGCCTGCGCCCTTGGGCTCAGCCCACTGTGACGACGAGACGTGCACAGCTGGCCTGCTCTGGCCCCCCGGGCTCTGGGGCTGCACTAACCATCTCCAGCCCCAGCAGGAAGGTGGCAGAGAACTTCAGAACCTGCCTTGAGCCTGTCCGCTCTGGGGTTCCCGTCAAGTCATCTGCCTGGTGGCCCCTGGAAAAGAAAGGGGAATTCTGGGGCCGCCCTCCTTGGGCACGGCCGTGAGGGGGAGGCACGGAGGCTCTTGGACACAGTCCTGCAGGGTGCCGATGTTTGAGCTGGTGTTTGGAGGCCAGTGGGTGGTGAGGCCAGGCAGAGCCCTCCCAGGACCTCCAGGCCTCTCCAGGCCTGGCCACGGTGTTGAGAGGTGCCATGAGGGGCTGCAAGTCCACATGGTGGCACTGGCATTGCTGAGGCCAGACTGGGAAGTGCCAGTGGCAAGGGGCAAGGTGGAAGCTGGGGGCAGGGCAGGGGAGTGGCTCCTCCGGGGTCCTAGAGGCCTGGACTTGGGGCTGGCCATGACACAGAAGTGGGGCACATCCAGAGAGAGAAGAGGGCAATTCATGGTGGACGAGCAAGGGCCCACGGGCAGGGGATTCCACATGGCTCCCTGTTTCCAGCTCCGGCAACACAAGAGTGGCTGTTTGGTTCTGGCACCAGGGACCTGGGGGCCAGGTGTGGCGACAGTGTCACTCTGGGCCTAGGGGGTGGCCAGGCGGAGTTGGGGTCAGGCTGACCAAGGTTTCCTAAGCTAGAGGACAAACTTGGGAAATGGTGGCTTGCAGGGCAGATCCAAGCGGCAGGCATAGGTGTGCTTAATAGGAGCAATGCCGACCACTGCCTAGTGGAGGTAGCCTTCTCACGTGTCGCTATGTTCTGATCTGAGTCAGGCTGAGGAAGAGGAAGGCTTAGCTCCCTTCCTGAAAGAGAATTAACTTCCCAGTAGTGCCCTCTTCAGGGAAAGGGGGTCCAGAGATTGTGTCCCAGAACTGAAAGTGATTTAACTGAAATGAACTGAGAATCTGTTAACCAGTGCTATCGATGTGTTTTGTTTTTAAGACTGGAGATCCTGTGGCTCACGCTGTGTCAGTTTCACAATCAAGTGGAAATTGAGGTTTGTATAGATAGTGTTATACAATGTCATCTGGGGTCTAAGTAAATTCGGTGTTGATCGGGGTCTGTGTAGATGCCATGTCGTACAGCGTCCATTGGAGTCTGGACAGATAGAGTGTGTACAGCACTGGATTGTCTGTTTAGATGTAGTGTTATAAAATGTTCTGTTGTTTGCATGGATACAATGTTGTATAACAGTACATTGTTGTCTATATGATACAGAGTTGTGGGCTTTCTACAGTGTTACATTGCCTACACAGACAGTGTTGTGTTTTCACAGGCACCACATTATACAATATTATTTTGGGGTCTGTACAGATACCCTGTTGTACAGTTGACCTTTGAACAACTCAACTTTGTGTGGTCCACTTACATGCAGACTTTTTTCAGTAAATATATTGGAAATTTTTTGGAGATTTGCAACATTTGAAAAGCCTTTTTTTTTTCTCTAGCTTATGTAAGAGTATGATTTATATAACACATGTTCAAAATATGTGTTAATATGTGTTATCAAGTATTTATGTATCAGTAAGGCTTCTGGTCAATAGTGGGCTATTAGTAAAGTTTTAGGGGGAGTCAGAAGTTACTTGTGGCTTTTTACTATGGGGCATGTCAGTGCCCCTAACCCCCAAGTTGTTCAAAGATCAACTGTAATTCTTTTGTATGTAAAAACTCCCACTGTGGAAAGTTAGAAATACAGAAATGCCCCAGCGAGCAGGAGCTTCCATCTCAGGTGGGGGCACAGACACTCTGGGTAAGGAATGGTAGTAGGTGGAGTTTTTGCACATGTGTGTGTGTGTGCCCACGTGAAAGTTGTGTGATGGTCCTAGTGGGAGATGCATTGACAGATCACACTTGTGACCGTCACTTAAGATGGTGCAGGCAGGGTGAGTGTCTCGTGGTACTGTACAAGTAACACCGCCTATCTGTGTGCTCAGTTCCTGCCCGTGTACAGCCCTTCCGAGGAGGAGAGGAAGGACCCTGCGCTGTACGCCAGCAACGTGCGGCGCGTGATGGCCGAGTGAGTGGGCGCCCCTCCTCCCGGGACTATCTGGGGGTGTCCGCTGGGGCGCTGGTCCCCTTCAGTTCCCCAAGTGTCACCACTGTTGTTTTCCACCTGCTGGCTTCCACCTTAGTACTGCTCAGAGAAAACAGCCTGTAGCATTAGAAAAATGGGTTTTTACAAAGCCAGTGAGGACGAGGTGACGGTGTGCAGGCTGCTCGCCTCATGTCTCCTGTTCTTGTTTGGTGATACTCCCACTTATTCAACATTTAGAAAATGGTTAACCATCACATAATTTTACAAATTTTGAGTGTGCCCGTAGCCCTCAGTTGCCGGGTGCTGCGTCCGGGCACCCCAATGGAGACAGGCATTGAGGCCTGGCAGACTTCAGGACCCATGTGGGGTATCCTTGAAGCCTCACTTGTCGGTGGAACACATGCATGTTTATTACTGCTTTTATTCCTCTCACTGAGCTAAGCATGGCTTTATACGTGTCCTCCTCTAAGATGACTGTGCTGCTTGCAGGACGAGCATGCATGCTGTTAGGGACAGTCTTCCCTCCTACTTTCATATAATTCCCCAGGGGGCCCACACCTGCCCCCCTGCCTGCCTCCCTCCCTCCACGTCCCATTCCCTCTCTCTTCTCTCATCTGGCTCCAACCCAGGCTGCCTCTGAGTTTGGCCACTGAGATGCCAGGAGCAGCTCTAACAGAGCATGTCACCTGTGGGGAGGCCTGCAGGGCTGGGAGGGCTTTGAGGGCTGTGACAGGCTTCTGAGGTCAAGTGGGTCTCCTCCCTATGTACACCCAGGCCCTGCTTTGCACATTCTGCTCACCGTGTACACCCCAGGCCCCGCCTTGTGCCATCTGTGACTGTGCACAGCGGTCACACACCTGACCTCCACAAATGTAAATTAAGACTCAACGGTGTGCTCTGGTTTTGCCCACACGCTCCTCCAGGGGCCAGGTGCAGGGCACAGGGTCCAGTGCACAATCCCTGTCTCCTCTCTGGCACCCACCTCAGATTCCTTCTCCCTCTCTGAATCACATGCCAGGACACATATGGGGCAGTCAGCCATCAGGATGCACTGGACTGTCAACTTCTGGGAAATCAGTACCCTTGGTGACCCATAAAACCGCTTGATAAATAATAGCCACAGAATTGCAGCCTCAGTGAGTTAGTGTATTTTTTTAGTACATCGTCAAATAAATTAGCTACTAAAAATTTTTTAAATGTACATCCTAAAGAAACTCTCCATATTAATGGAGAAGCCTCACATGTTCCTGTACCTGCTGGGCCAAGACGGCACCCTGGGGGTTAACCAGAAAAGGGCAGGTAACCCCCAGGGCACCGCCGTGGCCCACCAGGTACAGGAGAAGTGGGGAGACACGGAAGGGGGTCGTCACCTCCCCGGTCCTCAGCCCCATCTGAGAATGTCCAGGACCCCCATGCGTGTGGCAGGCAGCCCCGAGCTGGCCCCATCCCCGCTGTGGAATAGTCGGAGATGCTCCTCTTCAGTTTCGGCTTCTGTCCCCAAGAACTGTCACTCAGTTTGCCAAGGGAATTCACCAGCCTGGACGAAAGTCCGAAAAGTCACTGTTTCCCTCCTGGGGGATTGACATAATATCACCATGGCAACGGGGAACCACTGTCAAAATGAGAAGCCCAGCCAGTGTGTGTGGGGTTGGGGAAGGAGGGGAGTGTCTGTACTTGCACAGTGGCTGCCCCACATTCTCTTTAGGAAGAGGTGATCCATCCTGAAATCTGGCTGAGTTCTGAGTCCTGACTTCCCCACTGACTTGAGGGAGGTGCCAACTTTAAAAGCGACTCCTGGCCATCTGTAAGGACAGGTGGAACTTCTGAACTAAGTCCCCACGGGGCCTTGCCCTCTTGTTTCAGGCACCACACGCATGCTCGCTTCCTGGCAGGGTAGAGACCACGATAATGCTGAGCTAACTGAGAAGCCTGGGGGAGCATGCATCCGGTTGCCCTATGGAGATGGGCAGTGAGGCCAATAATTGAAATTTGTGGTCCGCTGTTCAGCGTGTATATTTCATGCTCAGTATGGACTTTAAACATCACCCTTCTGTGCACCTGCATTCCGAGTACTTGCCCCCCCCCCCACCCCCCCCCCCAGTGGCTCCACTTAAGGCTGCTGCATGCTGGGGCCGCATTCTGTGGGTGCGCATGAGAACTATGCCCCCCCAACCCACAGGGCTCAGGGGAGGGCGCCCCAGGTTAAGGGTAGGGCAAGGAGCCCACACCTCTGCTGCTGGAAGCCCGTCTCCTCTCCCTCCTTCCTCCACATCGTTCATCCTGCTCAGGCCCGACAGCCCTCAGGCAGGAGACCCCCAGCTCTGGCAGGGGCAGGGGCAGGCCTCCCGGCCTCTGCTCAGGGGGAATGGCTTTCCTGGCTTGGCAGCGTGGCTGGCCAGCCTCCCTCCGCCAGTGCTCTTGGCCCAGCAGGAGTGTAGAGGGGTTCAGCCAGGGTCTACAGCGTGACCCTGCACCTAGGCCCTCCCCAGGTCTACCCACAGGAAGGCGGACTTCAGGGCACTGCTTCCACCACCCAGCCTCCCGCCTTTGCAATCGCCGGAGACTGCCTCCGCTGTGCCAACAGGAGCCGAAGGGACGGAGGGGCGACTCACAGCTGGACACGAGTCCTGAAAAATGGGGGTGGGAGGGATTTGCCCGCCCGTCAGGCATCCTCACGCACCGTGTCCTTAGTCCGGCTCTCGGATGTTAGACGTCGGCTCTCGTGATCCGACAGCTCGTGTAGCTGCTTCAAGTTCTTTCTCAGGCTGAGTGCCAGCAGGCACACTGGGGGCTTTTCCAGGCAGAGCTGCTTGGTCCCCACTGCCCCTCCTGTGGTGCCCCATGGGCGATTCCACTCTAGGAAAATGTGCTTTTCATGACTTTCTCTTCCAGTTTCTCCTTTCAATGTTTAAAGTAAGTTTTATGGGGGTGCAGAATTCGAACCGGAAATGTCAGCAGATGTATCATTTACCAGGCAGGTAGAGGTCTTACATCCCACAGTGGGAGGGGTCACCATTTCAAATGTACACATTCTCATGGACAAGTCACTGTGCTGTGTGGATGCCACCACGGTCTGAGCTAGACGGGCATGTGAGTCGGCAGGTGGCTCTGCCGTGTGGATTTCTGCCGTCAAAGCTGGTTCTGTAGAGTCCACGAGGCAGGGGCCCTGCAGAGCCTCATTATTAAGGCCACGTGCCGACGCCTGCCATCACTCCAAGTGTCCCTCCAGCACTGCAGCTCTGCCGGTTGGGCAGCCACGCGGGGCAGGCTGACGGGGGGTGCCTGCCTCTCTCCTGCAGCGCCCTAGGTGTCTCTATAACCGACTACACATTTGAGGACTGCCAGCTGGCCCTGGCAGAAGGACAGCTTCGTCTCCCCACGGACACCTGCCTTCTAGAATTTGCCAGGCTGGTGAGGGGCCTGGGGTGAGTTCCTATATTTTCTTGTTTGGGTGGGTGGCCAGAAATGATGCTCCCCCGAAGCCGTCACAGATGGGCATCAGTGCCCTGGCGCACGTGGCAGGGCAAGTACGGCCCTCACGGATGCGGGGAAGGTTGGCGGAGCCTGCATAGCTGCTGCCCGCGGGCCCGGAGTCCCCATGAGCACTGTTGTGACCCACCTGGAGGGCGCAGCCAGCTCCAAGGCCAGCCGGAGACCAAGGAGAAAACCGTGCTGGTTCTCAGGTTTTTGTGGGGCTTTTTTTTTTTTCAAATGTCAGCTTCATTCTTCATGGAAGTGTCTTCCAACCCTTCAAAGTCAGAAGCAGCCATCTACGGGTGCCTCCCCAGCTGACAGACTGGCCCACCTGAGGGTGCAGGTCCACACATCTACAGGGGTACAAATGCCCATGTAGACACTTCAGCAGAGTACCTTGTGTGCCTTCAGATTATTAGAACACCTTTTCTTGAAAACTGATTTACTGCCTGCTATATAAATAACTTTAATATTTTCTTGAGTCCTTAAATACAACAGTAAATATCAGTGATATTTTTAGCATTCTGGAATTCTACTGAAAAAATTCCTTCCCTCTTTTTTTAGTCTAAAACCAGAAAAACTTAAAAAAGATCTGGACAAATACTCAGAAAGTGCTAGACGGAAGAACGGGGATGCCATCGACCTCCCGGAGTTCGCGGCCTACCTGGAAGTCCCCCTTTCAGACACACTGGGAGACATGTTCTCCCTGTTCGATGAGGTGAGCGCCGCTCTGGGTGGGAGGCTTGGTGGTGCCACCTCTGACCTCGGAGTAACTGTCTTCACTGCAATGTAAACATTCCTGAGACAGCTTTGGGGGAGAGAAGAAACCCCCTCACTGCCTATCCTGCAGTCCACCCCCCACCATGGGGCGTACTGTCTCTCGTGCTTTCAGATACACACAGAAACCTGACATTAAAGTTAACAGTGGCTGATAATCACACAATTGTAGTGCGACTGCTCACAGGCCTGCTGGTATCAGTGTCCCCTTCCCCAGAGACCCCACTTGGCTGGTCTTTCTCCACAGGGGCTCTTTCTCCATGGCTGTCGGCCCTCTGTGTGGTGTGTGAGGACTGCGCCCCGGGACAGCACCCCACCCCTCCACCAGCACGCATGGCCTGGCCGCGTGGGGATCAGCCCTCACACTGCTGCAGCCCTGCGTGTGGGGGACTTGGGGTGGGAGAGTGCGTGCGGGGGCAGGCTGCCACACCTGGCCTGCCTTGGTGTCTGCATCCCAAAACAGACCCGGTGCATAGAAGCTGGGCCAACGGCAGCTGTGTGAGAAAGGCTGCTCCAGCCAGGCATGTTCTGTGCAGACAGATAGCATGTTCCGTGTGAACGTATGGCATGCTCTATGTAAATCACAGTGTTCTGTGCAGACACAGCATGTTCCATGTGAACAGTGTGAATGTGTGGACAGCACAGCACGTTCCATGGACACCGCAGTGTGCTCTGTGTGCAGCGAGGGGCACCACGGTCTGCCTGTTGTAGAACCAGGAATCAGAGGTCAGGCGAGTGGCGGGGAAGCAACAGGCGCCTGAGGGCCTCCGCATGGGTCATGTGATCGTTGCTCGGCGGCACCCGTGCCAGTGCTTGTGCTGGTCCCTGCACTCTCGCACCCAGTTGGGAAGCCAGACCCCTGGCCCAGTGGCGTCGACCTGCACCTTCTGCCAGTGCAGCCCCCGCTGTGCTGCAGCTGCTTGGGTGCTTGGGCAGCAGGGGTTTGAACAGGAGCCAGGGAATGTGGACGGCGGGGCGCCCTGTGGCCACGCATGACTGGCAGGTGTTGGCTGAGCACCACATGTCTCACCCAGCGAGCGGGTGGCTGGTTTCCATGTCCCGCTGATTCACGTGCACACCAGGTGGGGGGTTGGGGAGGGGCCTGCACTCACAGGGAGGGCTTCTCACCCTGGGCCGGGCACATTCCCACACCGGGAACTTGTAGGCACCACCTGCGTGAACCCAGCTGCCTGGGCCTGAGCACCCTCCTGGACCCCCAGTCGACCCTGTGCCTCACCCTGGGGTACCCTCTGCCCCCTAATGCACCCTGGGGATCCCCCTGCCTCACCCTGCACCCTGGTATCTCCCCCCATGCCTCACCCTGGGGAACCCCCCCTGCCCTGGCCTCACCCTGGGGACCCCCCCTGCCCCCGCCACACCCTGGGGAAACCCCATGCCTCACCCTGTGGACCCCTCCTGCCCCCACCTCACCCAGGGGACCCCCCCGGCCCCTCCTCACCCTGGGGAACCCCCAGGCCCACCCCTGGGGCCAGGGGCTATTGCAGGGAAGGCTGCCATTTCCCCTCAAAGGACACCCAGGTGGGACAGACAGTGCACCAGAAATCCCTCCCCTGAGTCACCCCCATGACCCAGAGTCCTCCCTCCGCCCACCCCCTCGCCTCCTCTTGGACAGGAGTCCTGCCTGCACCCAGCTCCTCTCTGCCCGCTGGCCCCTCCCTCTCACTCAGTGGCCTGCTTGCACCCTGTCCCATGCACCCCCAGCCTGCCTGAGGCGCCCAGCAGCGTCCACACTGCCTGGTGCTGGGTGGACGGCACCACGTCTCAGCTGAGTCCACTGCCCTGCTGAGCAGACCAGGTTCTCAGCCGCGTTGGAGCCCTGCCATTGGCCGGTTTGCTTTCCTGAAAGGAAAGCAGGTGACAGTTGTCAGGTCATGTGCCTTCTTGATACGCGTCACATGACGTCTTACAGACTGAAAGCCCTTGTAAAGGCCAGGATTAAACCCACCCTGCGCCCACTCAGGAAACTGCTGAGCCTCGTCCTGAGAGCGTCTCTTCCACAGAGCGGAGGTGGCAGGATAGACCTGCGGGAGTATGTCGTGGCCTTGTCTGTCGTCTGCCGGCCGGCCCGGACTCTAGACACCGTCCAGCTGGCGTTCAAGGCAAGTCGTGGAGTCACATGAGTTGTTTGTAGGGACAGGGAGATGAGTCGGGTCAGATCTGTGGTGGGTTTTCCGGTTTCATTATACTGTAAGTTATCGTTTGCCTGCTATTTGCACATTACCTTATACTTGCCATTGTTTGTAAAAATGCCCCCAAACCTCCCTGAATTAATTTCCTCCTACAGTCAGAAGTCCACATCCATAGGAAGGCCATGGAGTAGGGTCTCTGGGAGTCCCAGGGCACTTGGACGGCGCTGGTGGGCGCCACGTGCCAGGTCCTGCGGCATGTCTGCCCGCCCCACGCCTCATCAGCTCTCCTAACCCTGCCTCTGCGCCAGCCTGTTGACCACAGGAAGAGCCAGAGCTGGGCTGGGCTGTACCGGTGCAGGGATTCTGGGAGTGGGGGAAGGCCCACAGTGGGGTCCCAGCTCACCTGCAGGGTCACCTGGCTACCCTCAATCCGAGCTTCGCCAGGGCACTGTCACCTGGGGAGGAGCTGGGCCACTTCGCCCACCTGGAGACATAGCTGTGTCAGGGTCTCCGAGGGGGCGCTTCCCACAGCTCACATTAGCCAGACTCACTGGAGCCTGATGTATAAGTCAGGAAGCTGCTTTCCTCTCACTTCTTGGAGAACCCCCTTTTCTCACTACCCCAACAGGCCCTCTCCTCAACAATGCTGGGAAACCCCTCAGGTCAAGGTGGCTTACGTGGGTCACCCCCCGGGAACTAGCTGGGTAATGTCAACACTCGGTAGCCCCAGTCTAGGGAGGCCTCCTCCTGCCCACATCTGGCCAGGCCCTGAGGGCTCACGGCCCCCTGGCGGGCTCTGCCTTCGGCGCCCTGTTCTCATCGGCCCCCAGCAGCTCCTCTGACGGCACCTGGCAGAGTCTGTGATGGCAGGAGGCCCGTGGCTTGTATGTCAGAGCACGGATTGTGCTGCTGGGCGGCCTGCCAATGCCCCGGCCCAAGGGGCAGGTGAACCAGGCCGAGAAGGAGGGGCACCAGGGCCAGGGTGGGGCCCCCATGCGTACTGCTGGTCCCACCTCAAGGGGCGGGGTGCGCATTGCCAGTGTCTCACAGACAGCCCCCTCCAGGGCTCATGCTCTCACTAGCAGTACCCACTGCCCCTGCAGTGACCACTCGGCTGCCTGAGAGAAACCAGCAGAGGCCGTGGACAGTGGCATGGCCAGCAGGTCACCCCAAAGGCCAAGCAAGGTGGCGGCTCATTCCTGTCGCTGAGCATTTGCTGTGAATGCCCCCTGTGTGCCAGGCAATGCCCCAGGCACCATCCCCGCCCAGGCAGACGAATGTCCTGCCTCCGGTGGGAGGGCGGGTGCCCACTCAGGAGGCTCTATGCTCCGCATGCATGGCTGGCGGCTGAGTTCCGGCACTGGGGCTCTGGAGCCTCAGGTCAGGGCTTGCCAGAGACCCGGGAATGCCGCAAGCCGCCCAGGCTGGCAGGGGCGGGGAGCACGTGGGTGATGCCACCCCTGCCCTGCAGATGTATGGGTCTCAGGAGGACAGCAGCATCGATGAGGGTGCCCTGTCCAGCATCCTCAAGACTGCCCTAGGGGTGGCAGAACTTCCCGTGACTGACCTCTTCAAGGTGATCGACCAGGAGGAGAAGGGGAGGATCACATTTGGTGAGTGGCCCCAGGAGCAGGGGGTGGCCGAGTTGTACAAGAGTGTGTGCACAGTGTGGGGGTTGGGGGACACAGACGGAGCCTTGCCCACCTGGGCTCCGCAGGCTCCCATCATCCTGTGCCGCACAGAATTCTCCAGAGAAAGGCTCTTTCTGAAACCTGGCAAACATGGACTTGGAGCTTTCAAATCTGATTTCTGCAGACAATTAATGACCCCACATTTCAAGCCTGGCTGTAAAGCTCGGAGCCCTGTGATAGATGCTGACCCAGGGATGCAGGCGGCATGCGCTGAGGCTGGGCTGCAGCAGCCTGGGGTCTGTAACGGGGGACCCCAGGGGAGTCGTGTATCTGGGCCTCCCGTCAGGACTGACCATGGGGGGGTCTCCTCTCCTGGGAGCTTTGGCTCTGTCACTTGTAGCCACACTGTGTGGGCTGGCCAAGCCCCTTAGGCAGACCTAACGCCCGTGCACAGGCCGAGGAGGAGGGCCACGGCCAGCAGGACCCCGGGGCAACACCCCTCTGCTCACTGAAAAGCATAGGCGTTTGCTCAGGAAGGTTACTGGCTAAGTCTCACTGGGATGTTTTTTTTTAACTGCATCCAAATGTCAGACATGAGCAAGTATGTGGTGGGGGGGTGTTAAGGTGTGTGTGTTGATTGGGGGTGTATTGGTTTGGGTGTGTGTGTGTTTAGGGGTGTGTGTGTCAGTTGAGGGGTGTTGGTTTGGAGGCATCCCCGCATTAACAGAGGCAGTGCATCCCAGAGGGAGTCCGGTGTTGAAGGCGTGGTGAGCACTGGCAGGTGCAGCTTGCCCAGGAAAGCCACCCCCACCTCCCCTGGGGACACTGGCCATCTTCCCACAGCCGCCAGTGTGCACTCTGCACCAGGGCCTCGGAGCACCACCAGGCCCTCAGGCACCCTGAGCGGGAACCCGAGGGTGCACTCCAGTCTGGCACCATGTCCGAGGGCCACCTGGGGATGCACGGGCACAAAGCCACTCTGGCCCCATGACCCACGCAGAGGGTGACCCTCCATGCGTGCCTGGTGTCCCCAGCACAGATGTGTCCATCGGTAGCACCTGGTGGAGCACCCAGCCATCGTGTAGACCCTCCATCCCACCCCTAAACCAGCTCCTTTTTGTGGGCAGCACGTCCCTCACACATGCTGGACATCAAAGGTGTTGTCCAGTTTACGTTCAAACACATGTCCACGGGTCTCCCCAAAGCAAAGTGGGCTGAGAGTGCTTGGTCTCCTGCCCTTCGCCTTCACGGTGGTCACGTGCGACAGAGGGAACCTGGGGCGCCCCCGACTCCCGGGCAGGAGCGAGGTCGCCACCTATGCAGGCCTCGGGTAGGGGCCCTGTGACCCAGATGCCTTTGTCTTTCCAGCCGACTTCGACAGGTTTGTGGAAATGTGCCCCAACTTCGCAGAGGAGTATCTGTACCCCCACCACACACGCTCTGAGAGCTGCGCACAGATTCCCCCAGCTCCGAGCCCCAACGGCTTCTGTGCTGACTTCAGCCCTGAGAATCCAGACACCGTGAGGAAGCCTTTTTGCAAGAAACTGGACTAGAACGGAAGGTCCCAGGGAGCGGAGGCCCCTACCGGCTCTGGGGCCTCCCCGCGCCGAGTCTGTTGCTGGGACCGTGTCTGGCCATGCGCCCCCGTGGGCTGTTGTTTGCCATCCCAGGCCGTAGGCTAAGACACCTGGACAGCTCCTCACCGCCCCTGTGTGAGGAGCCCAGCGTGGGGGGCACCCTGTGCGGAGCGCCTGGAGTGGCACCCGTGGGCCCACCCCATGCCTGGCCTCCCCATGGCCGGTTCTGAGGAGCGGCCTGCCACCCAGAGCCTGGGTGGGTGCCAGGCACTGCTTTGTTTTCACCCAGAGAATCTTGATTTTGAGTTTCCATTACAGTTTTTCTTGACATCCCCCTTGTGGTCAGTTCTCGGCACCTCACGGTGGGGGGCGTCCGCGTGACAAATGGGCGTGTCGTCTGCCTTGATCACAGCACAGAGCCACTGCCGACCTCAGGTCACAGCCTGGCAGAGCCGTGACTTTTAAATGTTTCTATATTTGTGGGAATTCATGAGTATTTTATAAACTTCATTTAGATACTTCAGGAAACATTCAGCATTTTTTTAAGAAAAAGAAAATCGTTTTCTACTTCAGTTTTCCTTTGAGGGTCAGAGGATATTTATTTATAGGCCCTTTTTTTTGATAGACTGAGGCTGTTTGGGGCTTTAACTTAAATTTCTCCCCAGCCTCTCCCTACTAGGCCTTCTCCTGTTTGGGCCCATCACAAGCACACAGCCCAGAACCACTTTTTCTGCTTCCTTAATGCTTTTCAAATCCTGCTCTCTTTTTTATAAGCATTACCAGCTTCGTATTTCTGTTGAATGTGACACGGTCTACTTCACTGTAGCATAAACGCCAACTGAAGCGCCGAAGGCCGGTGGGGTGGGCTGGGTGGTGGCAGCCTGCAAGCCCCTGGCCTCTTGCTGAGCGTTTGCTCCTGCGCCTCGAGCAGGCTGCAGAACTCAGAGCAGGCAGGTCCTGGTGGAGGCCGCTGCCCGCTCCGTGCGCCGAGGTGTGGGGACCTGCCCCCAGGCCAGAGGAGCTGCTGTGAGGGAAGCCTGTGGAGGCGAGCGGACAGCGAGGGTGTCCAGTGACAGCTTTGTGCAGACAGCCCCCGCCTAGTGTGGCCTCCCGCGTCGCTGCATCCATTCCGCCATGGGAAGGAGAATGTGCAGTGGGGTCCCTGTCAGAGTTGGGCGGGGTCACTGCCCCCGGCACGGGAAGCATTTTGGTGTCACCTGTATGTATGATTGTGCTGCCTCACCATTTCCATGGGACATGATGAGGCTGTCCTTAAAGCACAGTAACCACAGGCTCAGCCTCTGGATTTGTTTGGGAAAAATTTTGTTTTTAATTTCTAAGGTGAATTGGGATTTCTATCTGGGGCATCTCCATAGAACATGACCACCAGGGAAAAAGTTCACTGACTTCCTGAGGTATCCATGGTGTGCATTTCTACCCACAGACATTTTAGCAAAAGAAACCCCTTAACGTCAGCTCTGAACATTCCAACCTGTCCCAGCGTGCACAGTGCGGCCACGCCGCTCATGGGGGCCGCTGCAGGTGGTTCCCAGGCTCCCGGCTCATGGACACCCAGCACGGGCAGAGGCAGCTCAGGAGCTAAGGGTGACCAATCTCATGATTGTAAAATGCGTGTGAGCATTTTGAAGAGAAAAACCTACAAATGGCCAATGAAGGAGGTGAACAGACTAAGATATTTGGGGGGCGGGGCCTGGGTGGGGGCTCCCGGCCTCCATGTCTGTGGATGAAGGGGCTTTTGAATGAGATGCCTCTGTGCATTCTCAGGAGAAAGTCCCTGATGAACAGACTTTGATGACGTTTGTTTCTCCTGATTCTCTTTCTGACAGTACCTTACAGTGAGCGGGCATTCAGAACTGTGAATGTATATAGTTCCGGAGTTAAATCCCTCTTGTGTGAGGTGCAGGACGCGGCCCTGCAGGGAAGGGAGGGCCAAGCGGTGGTGTCTGCTCCCCAGACAACTCTGGCTTTGCAGTGGAATGAATAAATGTAAAGTCTCAGCACTCCAGGGTGTGGCTGCTGTGTGTGTTTTATTAAAGAGGCATTTCTTGGGCTGATAAAGGGAGCCAATCAAAAGATTTCCCTTTGTGCTTTTCTAGTGCACCTGGAAAATTAACTGGAATTCTGTAGGAAAAGCTTTCTGGACTGCAGAGGAGGCCTGGGGTGTTCAGGGTCACATGGACAGTGCCTGGCATTGTGCAGAACGCAAACTCGTGTGGCCGTTTGCCTGCCTGGCATCCTGATTTCTGTTTTCCTCTCAGACACATACACCACACACAAGCCTCGTCAAGCAGAGAGAGACGGATCTTGCGTTCAGTCCTGTTAAAGTCAGTGAAAGATTTAGAAATAGAAATAAAAGAAACAGCTGATGTATTACCATACCAAAAACTGCAATGAAAAAGTCTAGGTTATGTAGCCATTGGCTCCGAGGGTCAAATGGTAGGTGATGATTGTCCACCACACCAGGCAGGGACCCACGGGGCGAGGGTGGTCTGACGCCCCCAGTGGGAGGGAAGGGTGGGAACCAAAATGACATTTTCATGAAACAGGTTTTCAATTTCTTTGTGCTTCCGTGATGGTTGCCCTTTTAACATAATAAATGGGTATTGCCTTTGAAGTTGGCTAAATTTAAGTATTTCATGTAAAAGGCTAAAGCAGAGAGGATCTGGGTGTTTCATGCTCAGAGCTGGACCCAGCTTCCCAGACAGAAGGACCCGCTGCGCTGGGCAGCGGGAGGAGTGGCTTTGCAGGGACACCCGCCGCATTCTGGATAGGAAGCAGGCTGTGCCAAGCAAGCCGGGGAAGCGAAGGTGCCCCAGAAGCCACCAGCCCTCCTCTGCCGGGCTCCCACTGCACCCCCACCAGCCCAACCAGACACTGCGTCAGGGAAGCCCCAGCCGGAGGTGGGTGCTGAGAGCCCGTGGGCTGGGCAGCCAGCACTGCCCTCTGAGCTCTGTGCCAGTGTGTGAGCTCTGGGCATGTGTGCCTCCTCCCAGCAGCATGGGGCAGTCACTCACCCAGACCCTTATGTCCTCCATGAAGTGGCAGCCCACGGCCTTCACGTCCATCCCCAGGCGATGCTGATTCCAGCTACCTGAGTGTCATTCTCTAACCTGAAAGACCTACGTCACAAACTTCACAAATGTCCCCTAGATAAAATAATGGGGGAGGCCGAGAAGCGGGAGACAGTAAGCAGTTTATGTGCGTGCCCTCTGCACACACGCTCCAGGCAGGGGGCAGGTCCCCCGCCCCACCGCAGCAGGTGAGAGGCCGCAGCCCATGCTCAGCTTCTACCCCCTTCCACATTTCATTAGCATGGGCAGCCCGCCTCATCCTGGGGGTAGGGGAGCCCCAGAGAGCCCAACCACCTGCGCGTGCGGCACTGGGCCAACTGTGTCTCAGGGCGGGGCGCTCTGTCCTGGGACCCCAAGACCTTGAAGGCAGCAGAGTGCGAAGTTGCAGATGTGCGGACAGGCTCAGGCACAGGCTGGGTGACAAGGGTGAGACACAGGCTCAGGGTCAGCAAAGGTGTGTGCTCGTCACCTGTCCCAGGCAGGTCACCTGCTGCTCTGCCCGGCATTGCCTCGCCATCCACCCGACTGCACAGCCTCTCCGGGCACGCAGCCTGATGAATGGCCTGGGAAGATGGAGCGGATGGACCCGCGCTAAGTGTGAATCATTTGCAAACACCCATCAGCCCCACCCCCATCTCATTGGCCAGAGTGACCCTGGGGCAGCTGAACTCCATAAGCAGGGACACCTGCCCTGCAGAAGAGGGGTCCCACTGCCAGGGACAGCCCAGAACCCGGCCACCGACAGCAATGCCCCAGGGGTGAGGGTGACAGGAGCCATCCCCAGGCCCAGTCACAGACGTGTCCTGCTGCGTGGGGCAGCACCAGGTACTGGTCCATGGCTCAAAGACCTCCTTCCTGGAATGTTCCCCACCACCACCGGGACAGCACCCACACAGGGGCCATGCAGTGGCACCAGTGAGGCCACGGAGTTCCTCCTCCATCACTGGCCGGTGGTGTCGCTGCCAAGAGCTTGTTAAGCAGAATGAGGGTATGCCTGCAGCCCTGAGTCCCTGGCTAAGGCAAATCCCTCCACAGTGGAGCAGGCGGTGGGGAATAGTGCCAGTGACTCCGCAGATGGCGCTGGAAGACAAATCCAGTCTCAGCAAGGGCAGTAAACGAGGACAAATCACCTGCCCCGTGAGGGGAGGGTGCCTGGGACCAAGCTGCATCAAAGGGGCTGAGCACCGGACCTGCTCCCTCCCCACTAGTGGGACCCAGGGACACCCCACGGCCCACGCTGTCCCTCCTCCCAGGGCCCCTGCATGTGAGTTTGTGAAGTATGCACTCTGCTGACCGCCGGCATCCAGCATGTGTGCCGTACCCTGCATGGGGCAACGGGGACAGACATGGGGAAGCAAACACCAGCGAGCCTGTGCACGTGGCAGGGTATAGTCCCCAGGAGGCCCAGGTCAAAGAGCAAAGCTGGCTGAAAGGAATACTAACATGCAAACAAAACTGTAAGAAAGTTGACGGGCAAGATTAGCATCACACTGAATGACCTTTAAGACGAGGAGAATTACCTGTGTCAGACACTGCAAGCCGACCAAGGCTCAGTGGTGCGACTGGAGACACAGGAATCCAAAAGGTGTTTTACACAATGATGGCATGAAAGATATTAAGCAAACATTGACAGAATTAAAGGGAGAAATAAATCAGCAAACAGCTGAAGATGGTAACACAATTCTCTCAGTAATCAATGCACCACTAGGGAAAGAAGTGTAATTACATAGAAAATTTAAACAACTACATTCACCAAATCGACTTAATTGCTGTTTCAAGTACACATGGAGTGACTGACTAAATAGACTATATGTTGGGCTGGAGAGTAAATGTCAATAAATGTCAGAATGTTTAAATTTACAGAGTATGTTTCCCTCATCCCAGTGAGGCTCAAGCATGTGAATTCTGCCCCTGTTCCCAGGGCAGGACTGAGCTTGAGCCCACCTCCTTGCCTGGGAGCCGAGAGGTCTGTTGAGGACACAGCAAAGGCACCACAAGATGGGAAGGGTCAGTCGCTGCCATAAATAGTCAAGAGCTGCTTAGGTCCCGACTAATTCTTTTAAACTTAATAAAAGTTAATGAGCCTACAATTTTGCTGCTGGTCAAAATGCCGGTACAGAGACCGGCTTTACCCTCCTCCTGACACAGGTGGCCAGGTGAAAACTCCAGTGGGTTTTGCCTCAGCCTTGAGGAAACATTAACCCCAGGTGAAGTACTGCTCTGGTCCAGCCAAACAAAGCTTAAAAAGCAAGACCTGGAAGAATGACTAAGCTGTTCATAAGTAGCTCACCCACCCCACAGAACAACATTCCAGAATATTTGCAGGAATACAATATTATCCAGCAATCAGCAGGGTAAAATTTAGTGTCTGGCATCCAATCACAGATTACCAGGATGCAGAGCAGCAGGAAAAGCTGGTCTATAGTCAACAAAAGCAGACCCAGCAATGACTCAGGTGTTGGAATTAGACGGGAGCTACATAGTGACAATCACTATGACATATCACCACATCAGCTCACTCAAAAAGCTACCTGGACGTAAGGTAGACTGTACTTGGTAGAGACATGAAAGGAACCTTTTTAAAGACACAAATCTAAATTCTAGAGGTGAAAATCACAATGTTTGAGATGCAGAAGACTGTTTGGGAGCAAGGGGGGATCTGACATCACAGAAGAGACAGCAACTGAACTTGAGGTAGCACGGTGCGAGCTATTCAAAACAGAATAAAGACAAATGAGAAAAAAAACAAATTTGAACTGAGCACCCCCTATTGTGCATGCCATTGGTATCCCCAAGGGAAAGAGCAAACAACAAAAAAATTGAAAATAAAATTTTCCAATTTTGTTATAAACAATAAACCACAGATCCAAGGAGCTCCATGAACAAGAAGCAAAATGGAAACCACACTGGGAGGATTAGAACCAAATGCTTAAAACAAACGACAACAAGAAAATCAGCAGCTAGAGGGGAAAAAAGACACACTTCATACCGAGGGCCAAAGATATGCAGGAGGGCAGGTTTCTTGTTAAAAACAATACAAACCAGAGTGCAGGGGTGCAACATCTACCAAGTCGGGAACAAAAAGAAAACAGCCAGTCTACAATTCTTTACTCAGGAGAAATATCTTTCAAAGCAGAAATCAGGCTGTTTCGAAACAGAAGCTAAAAGAATTCATCAGTGGCAGATCCTCACTGCGAGAAATGCCGTCCTTAGAGCAGAAGGAAAACGATACCATCTTGACATCTGGGTCTGCACAAGGAGTGAGGACCAGATATGGTAATGTTGTGGGTAAATATAAACATGTTTTTCCTCATTATTTAAATCTCTTTAAAAGATGGACGACTAAACAAAACTGATCATGTGACCTTGGGCTCAGGACATGAACAGGCACGCTGCTTGACAGAAGGGGCACCAATGTCCTCACACTGCGTGTGCACAAGTGGTGTCACCCGAAGGCAGATGGATGCTGGGAGGAGCAGCCTCCGGAATGACCTCAGGGGGGTGTAGCTCATGACCCAATGAAGGAGGGAAACGGAATGTTTCTTGAAAACCTACTGAACCCAAAGGAAGGCAGAAAAGAAGCAAAAAGGAAGGAGAGAACACATTGGAAAAATAGAAAAGAAATAGCAGATGATAGCTCTAAATCCAACCATCTTGATATTACATTAAATATAAATGATCTGGACACCCTGCAAGAAACAACAGAAACTGTCACATTGGACAAGAGAGCAAGAAATAATATGATGCCATGAGAAACACACTTTCAATGCCAAGACACAAATGGGTCAGAAGGAAGAGAATGGGTGCTAACTCCAACCAAAAGAAAGGTGGACTGTTGTCTTCATACCGAAGTTGATTCCAGAGCAGAGATATTAGCAGGTCCAAACAGGTCATTTCAGGCCCAGGGCCCAGTTCCCCAGGAGGCCATGACAAC